GTATGGAGTGTCGTTAGATTTTTCTTAGTTATCGAATTGCATAGAATATAAAATTTTTCTCTCTTTAGTAAACTTTTTTTACGCGGTCGGGTTTTTTAATTACTGTTGCCAGGCTTTTAGTTGTAGAATTTTTTTACAATTTAAATGGAAACATTCTTAAAGTACAAACTTATACTTAGTAAAACATATACATTCAAATGAGTTCACAATTGAAGAACATACTGCATAACGTTTGTTGACAAACTAAACCACCAAATAACATTCGATTTAAAAACTTCCCCTTATTTGAAGTCGGAAAATAATTTGATGAATATTTTCAAGTTATTGGGTACATAGAAACGGGCACACGTACGTACATACATATAAAAATAGTTTTTATGAACTATAATTTCTTATATACTAATAAAGTTAATTTTCATAATTAACCTTTTAGATAATAACATTTAGTATTCAGATTATTTGCTTTGGACGCATTCCGTCACTCATTTATTAGAGTTTCCAAGTTTTTACTGCTCTATATACAAGGAAGTGCACTTTGCTAAACGCAATTAAGTTCATAAACGAGAAATACTTTGTTAAGTTTATTACTGGAAAACGTTTAAGTAATTTAATTAAGGAAAGTGTTGAAGTAGATACCTGTGTAAATTCCACTTTTGAAAAAGTGTCTAATCATTTATTATTTCACTAATTTATTCTACTACTGTCTATCGATATTCTACTGCGGAACGTAGACCTCCTGCATAGAATGCTTTATTTATTATAGTTTATAATAAATTACTGCGGAACATAAGCTCCCCCATAGATTGGCTTATAGAAAGAAAGTAAGAAATAAAATATTTATTTCGCCACATAATCACAACTCCGTACATACCCTACTTAATATTTCTACTTGTAAGACGTTAATACACATATGTAGTAGACGTTGCCGAACGTGACGCAAAGTGGTCGCAGTCAGCATTTGGCGTGGCGAACCAAAGCCGCCTTTTTCAGTGTGGCCCGTTTCGCCTTCGAATAGGTGGAATATTTGTCACAGTAAATGAAACTAGTTTTACAGACATTGCGTTTTATTAACTTATTTTGTACGAACGACCCGTCCCTGTTTCGCCTCGATAGTATGTATTGTCATTAATGTGGCGTTTTATAGATTTAAGAAACTCAAGGATATTTATTTTATGAAATCTTCGTATTAAAAAAAACAGTTTCATTGGATTTATTTCCATACCCTTACAGCCTACTAAAGTCCACTGCTGAACATAGGCCTCCCCCATAGATTACCTAATAGGGGGGATATTTGCCATAGTTGCCACGCTTAACAAGCGGGTTGGCAACGGCAGTTTTTTTTATTAGTAGTCGTTATTAGGGAGATGCTGCTGCCCATCTCCTAATTTGATTCCCTCTATTGCCTCTTACGACACTTAAGGGATGATATGTGGTAGTGGATATTCTTACACCGCCACTACACGGTGTTTTGTGTGTTTTGAATTTAATGTGAAGTGTTCACGTAAACATAAGCAATAGTCATTGTTGTCACGGTTGGCAGACTGGCTTCCGTTTTCATTGCATAGCTCTTTCGGAGATGTTCCATTATTAATAGAATCAGGCATTACTTGGCGTACATCCGCTCGATAAAATAAAATTATGTGTTTTACCTAGTTTAAAGAGCACCTCCCGCCCTCCCTCAATTACATGCACTATTCCCGTCACCCTTAATCACAACACCACTACACTAGAAAAGACACACCACTGAAGACAATACGACACGTGTTTCGCCTCTACACGAGGCATCTTCAGGGTGATGTAGTCTCTGCGGTGGCTGACCGCGGATATTGCACGCAATTGAGGGAGGGTGGGAGGTGCTCGTCAAAGTAGGTACGATACATCATTTTATTTTATCGAGCGGATGTACGCGAGGTAATTTTTTGCCAACTTTAATGTTGCATTATTATTAATCTATACAAATAAATAAAATTGAAGTGTCTGTTTGTAATGATAAAATAACTGCATTTTACTAAATACATATGAAAGTATATACGATACCAATAACAAAAAATCAGTTTTAAAAATTTTTGTCTGTCTGTCTGTCCGTCTGTCTGTCTGTTTGTTCCGGGTAATCTCCGAAACGGCTGGACCGATTTTGACGGTACTTTCACTGGCAGATAGCTGATGTTATAAGGAGTAACTTAGGATACTTAATTTAGAAAAAGAATTAGGGTTCCGCGCAAAAAAATTAAATCCCATAAAATCGTAGTAAATTCCACGCGGGCGAAGTCGCGAGGAACAGCTAGTTTTTAATATTAATAGCGGGTCATTTAGGGAGTCTATCTAGGGTATAATGTGATGATAGCATGCACTTACTTTTGGCAGTATTTTCATTCACTTCTTGCCTTTTGCATTAAAACGTAAAAATGTTTTAGGATGATAAATAACGCCTAGTATAAAAATAAACTTATATTTGGACGTAGTTATGCAAAAAGGATCCAACCCACGATAAGTTAATTTGAGTTTGTAATTTTTCTTCTTATTTGTGTTACTTATGCTAAAATTGATACATCACATAATAGTATAGACCACAAACATTATTTTTCAAGTCAACATTTTTGACACAAACTCGGGTTGGATCCTTTTTGCATAACCACGTCCATTTATAATAGTGAAGATTTTAGTGCAATTTTAATTTTAATGCAAGTAATTATATGTTTCATTTAAAAAAATTCTTGAAATGCTATTATCATTAATAATATTCCCTGTAACCACTCCTGCTAAACTTTAAATGCTTGTGTTAGGAGTGGTTCACGACAGTAGTCGAATGGCGGGTCCGAACCCACAACCTTTTGAGTTCGCGGTCCGTGCTGTACTATTAGGCTACTGTCGCCTGATGTTATTGATAATGCTGCGTTGATAGAATAAACCGATTTTAATAAAACAAAGACTTAATGTTACGCGAAGTTACGCTTTATGATTTTCATAACGATTATTTTGATATGTTTTACGTAATACGTTCATAAACAGACAGACAGAAAGACAATTCTCAAAATGATAGAAATATATTTAATGACATATTATTAGTCACCTCAAAAACTTTTGTCACAAAAATATACAATGTACAGACACATGCAATTAACATTTTTATTATATGTGCATATAATGTTTATTTATTTAATTTCGTCTTTCTATTGAGTTTCTTCATTGTAATACTCGTTAGTATAAGGGTTATATTAGTCGGACCTAGAAAAAATAGATATATAAAAGTTGGTAGGTGATAAAAAACTGTTAAAGAAGACTAGACATATTGTTCGCGACGGTTTAAAGACTTTAAGCAAAAAGTGATGAAAGAATATTAATTTGTTTAAAAAGTGAAATTAGCAACAAAATCGAACAAATTGTGTATTAATATGGTTTTACAATGTGTTTACAACTCTTAATATATTTGTGTAGAATGTCATTTTAATAATAGTTGATATAAACAACTTTAAGCATTTAATAAAATTCGACCAATCACAGCGCAGCATATCGTGGAACTTTCTGGAAGTTAAATTAACTGCGCAATAGTTTTTATGAAAATAATAAGAATATTTTTGTATTCCAAAAGAATTGTAAATATGATATTTAGTTAGCATATGGTGTATAGATTGCAATAGTAAAGAAATAATTTGTGTAAATAGACGCATTTGATAAATATAGAAAAATTAAAGATTTAATGTGCACATTTGTTATGAAAATTTGATACATTTTCTTTAATAACTTTTTTAAATGTAAATATATTGAGTAACCTTTATCACATATTGATAAAGGACCAAAATTCCTATTTAATAGTGTATAGCGTGTTAGTGTAAAAATTAGCATTGTATAGAAAATATTGCGATTTGTGCTAATTACATAATGAACATGTTTAAAAATAAAGAGGCAAAACCGCAAAATGGCAAGCGGCTCTCTATACAGTATAGCCAAAGTCTACCTTATGAGGGCAAATCACAGTAGGGTAAGGCCGTAGATTTTGCCACTTAGTAACATAGAGTAACATAGACACTTTTATGTTACGGTAACACAGATGTAACGCGAAAGTAACGTATAATGTTCGTAAGGCCGATTGCATAATGCGCTATTTTTAGCCGACTTCAAAAAGGAGGAGGTTTCGGCTCGTAAGCTAAACTAACTATACAGTTCGCCAACTGTGAGAAGTTCAGTGATAGAAAAAATAAGTTAAATATACGGGGACATTTTTCAGTCTCATGAAAAATGTTTAAAACTATCAACAACTTAGAATTATTACACAACCATGAAATCTGGCCAAGTTTACCAAATATCAGTAAAATAATACTACGATATAAGTGAAGTAACAAAAATCTTTAATGTCATGAATAGAGTATCTGAAAAAATCTTCTAGCTAAAACAAAAAAAAAACTAAATAGCATTCATTATAATATGATATAAACCTATAAAATAAACTACACAATGATATCAATAGTGTTTCGTGAAATCACAAAATTATAACAATATAATCTTTCTAAAGTTTTTTTTTTCAAAAAGTTTTTACAATTATCACACGGGTTATCTTCTTAAATAAAATAGTAGGTACATTTCTAGGAAACTAACTAATATTGGTATTTTTCTTATAAAATTGACACGAAATTTTTCTTAGAAATTGTAGGTAAAAAAAAAATAGAAATTCGTGTAGATAATTATTTTGTTATATGGCAAGAGTAACAAATCACGTAGTAAAATGAAATAACATGTAAAAAAGTTAAAAAAAAGCTACATAATTCTCTCTAACTTAGGTACAGACACCAGCACAACAACCTACACCAATCTGTCAAATTTTCTCAATCGAATATGAACCTTCTGCTTTTGTGACAAAGTTGAAAATCTATTAAAGAAATTCGACAGATTAGAGTGGGCTGATGTGCAGGCGTCTGTACCTATACAGTCTGTACATATATAGTCTGTACATATACAGAGGTCATTGCAATACAAAACCTTTCTTACATCTTATAAATATATATTCAACAATTAAAATAAACCAAATCAATATCGGTACTCAGGTAATATTCTTTAGAGGCTTTCTCCCGTTGAATCAAATTTACCTTTTTGACGATAGAAATATTGGTCACTATATCAATATCTAATTTTCTTTGGACTACAAACTTCACCGTATCTGAAAAATCCTTGACGGTTTTCAAAAACTTTACCTTATAATAATTTTCTTCGTTCTTAAATTCTATATTCTCAACAAATCCTATAAAATATTTCCACGTTTTTCTTTGGAAATATCGAACTATTATACTATCATTTTTATATAAAATAACGTTCTGCGTATTTTCCTCACACTCGATTGTTTTTTTCCTTCATTTGTTTTGGATTCCTTGTCACTTTCATCTTCTTTTAAATTCTCAGATTTGTTTATTTTATCTAAATCTGTTTTCTCTATTTGTTCATATATATCTGCGTCTTGTAAAACTTTACCAGTATTATTTTGGCCTCTCATACTTTCAAGTTGTTTATTATATTCAGTCTCAATTGTATAATTTTCTTTATTTTCATCAGCTTCTTTTCTCCCTTCTTCTCCGGTAACATTTAGAATTTCCTTGCTTTCATCTTTCTTAGTACATTCAATCTCAATTTTGTGTTTTTCTTCTTTGGTATCGTTTTTGTTTTCCCTGTTCTGGTCTATTTTTCTTTTATCAGTATTAATATTGTTACTGTCATTACTTCTTATTTCCTTTATCGGGTCTTCTTTTCCAAATAAATAGCTCTCTCTTAAATCATAACTCGCAGTATTTTCCGGTTTTTTTCTAATTTGTGACAAAATTGTAACATCATCTTTCCCAGTAACATGTCGCGTAGTTTCGCAAATTTTTTTATGGATTAAATCTTCATTTTCACAAATTATTTTTCTTTTCCTTTCGTGTTTAGGATTATTTTCAGCATTAGGTTTCTTTAAAATTATTGTGGATAGCAGAGTGACTTTTTTGTTTGGATCAATTTTTGGCCTCAGAACACCTGTTTTTTCGTCAAGTTCTGTGATTAGTTTGGTTTCATCATCGTTAAAATCTGGACTTATTGACTCATCCGAAAAAAACACCGAGGCATCGCTTTCCGCATACTCAATACTATCATCATATTCGTCTTCTTCGGTTGATGAACTGATACACCTTCGTCTAGTTTTATTGTTATTCTTTGAATTTTTTTCTTCCTTTTTCTTTTCACATTTTTTTTGTTGTTCATTTGCGTAAATAGTGGACAAAAAGCTATGAGATACAGGTGAGTGACATTTACAGTTGCCTCTAGGATCCCCACAGAAACAGCTGAGATCTCTGTATTTGAGTTTCAGCTTTTCTATTGTTATCAGCTGATGAATTTTCATTGTTTGCGGCAAAGGACTTAGCTTTGTGTGTAAAGGCTTGATGTTGAGAGAAGGAATATAAAATAATTTGATAGCTGTGTCCTCCGATTTCAAAACATCAAATGCTGTTTCTGCGTTTGGGATGTCTTTCCCCTGAGCGATTTTGGCATCTAGAGTTCGTTTGATGGCGCCTCCGATACCATCAGGGGCACCTTTTCCATGGGCGGCCTCAAAAAACGACCAAGTATAATAAGTAAACCCATATTTAAAGACTTTATCACTGAATAAGTAAAAGTTTTTTTTCTGTCTATACTGGGTCGTTGGGCCATCAGAGAAAAAGTGAATGTTAAAGATGTTTGGATAGTTACTCTTTATGTGTTGTAAAACGGGATCGAGGTGGGCCCATATTGCCTCTGGATTGTGTTGGTTATCGGCGGATATAGAACAGAAAGAAATAGGTTTCTTCTCTCCTTTAATGTAAATAACTCCCGTATGAAGGGTAATCTGTTCTTTTATGAAATGCATTGCCTGTATTTCTTTATGGTATTTGCAGGTGAAATTTTCAGAGAAATCTATATGGATACATGCTTCATAACTTTCTAAATTATTAATGCAATCTTTGTATTTTTTATATTGGTGATAAAAATTAAAAATATGTATTTTAAATTGTTTCATTTCCGCACTAAATATCTCAAGTAAGTTTTGTAAAGTACCCTCTTTCTTAATTTTTGTAATCTTTTTAATTTTCTTCTTTTCTCTTTTCTTTTCATATTCATGGTTTTTTAAAACCCAAGTAAACCAGCTTACTTTAGCCGACAGTGCTTCGTTATCAACTTTTAATTTAATTTCTGAACACGCATTACAATTATTATACATGCAATCTTTTGAGTAAAAATCGCATACTAAATCAGTTGTAACCTCATTCAGATTGTCAGTTTTAAGTATTTTAAGGGATTTTAGTTCATCAACCAGGAATTGCATATTAGAATGTTTTTTGCACGCGCAACTCTCGCAATCCTTGATTTTTGGAGAAAGTACGTAAAACGGGCGGTACTTTTTGAAAGTACTGAAACTTATTTGGGCCTCTTCTGCGATAAACTTTCTATGAAGTACGATTAGTTTGTCTAGCAAATATCTCTTTTGGCGTGTAACTTTTTTGAAGGTTCTGTATTCTTTTTTGCCTGCAGTGGTGCGGCTAACATCATCTCTGTTAAAAAAACATTCAATTTTCTTTTGCAATGCAGTGGTTCTGGTCTTCTGCTGAAGGTAGTTTTTGAAATTACTCTTGAATCCCAGAGAGGTTCTTAATCTTGTTTTCAGTTTATATTTTTTCACAATGTTGTTATCTAGAACCTTTTTCAAAAAATTCTTTTCGGTATTATTAGCAGTTTGGAATTGTAATTTTAGTGACTTCGTTAGTACGAATGTTCTAGTAGTTTCTTCTTAACTTCTTCTTTTTTTGGAGTTTCAATGTTTGGTATGTTATTATTTATGAACTCTGTTACTTCTTTCCTCGGTATTTTCTCTTCTAATTCTCGTGTATATGTGTCCTTTGTTTCCACTGCCGTGATTAATCTAGTTAATAAATTTTCGTAATCTGCCTGCATCTTGTCTATTTTGTTTTGTTGTCTATTCGTTTTTTTCTGAAGACTTTTAAAATCTTTAGTCAATGTGTTTAACTGTAATCTCAGTTGTGCAGTTTCCTGTTTCAGCCTGTATTCGATTCGGCGTTGCATATTACGACAAGTTAATTGGTTATTATCTTGCTTGGAATTTGAAGTAAGTGCCGTACCCGGTTCATTTTGAGATACCATTTTTGCATCTTTTGCTTTTTTCCGATCTTCCTTCCATTTATGCCGTAATTCTTGTTTGTGCTCTTCAGTATAGGTACTCTTTTTTTGCTCATAGTAACGTGCAGATCTTTCTTTGGCCTTCTTTTGTATTTCTTCATACTTTTCAGGGTTTTCTCTTTTCAACTTATCGCGATATTTTTTCTGCTTTTCAGCTGCAGTCATCGGCGGCATCTGTGACAATATTTATATTGTTTTATTGTTAATCAGAAAAGTATAGGGATAGTATGGCTTAAGGGCTCTAATTCATTCATACAGTCATGTTTAATACATTGCCTAAGGGTCACACTACCCGCCTCGCAACACATTTTTTCGTGGGGATGTATATCTCTTTTTAACTCTAAGCGACATCGTTTGCTGGAAAGAGAAGACCGTTTGCGCGAATATCAAAATAAACATTATAAAATAAAAACAGACTTAAAAAAATACGTGGTAAACAGTTAGATTTGGTTTAATTTTTAGAAACAATTGGCACCGATATCCTTAACTGTTTTTCACAAAAGATTAAACTTTATTCTTTTTGAAGTTGGTTTTTTACTTTTTTAGTTTATTTTATTTTTCCACTAAGTGGCACGATAATATGGTTTAAAAACCTTTCTTTTTCAGTTTCCACGAATGTCCTAACTCCTTAAAGACACAAGTTAATTAAGGCAACTAAACGACTGTTGTGTATGTGTTTTTTGGATTTTGTAAAAAAATCTATACCAATAAATAAAAGTATAAGCAGGTAATTTGTAACTGCATAGAAACCAATTAAAAATGTCCTCTGTACATCAAATAACAAATTACTGAGCGGATTTTACATTACTCTACACGATCAAAACTTTAAAAAAAGTAGATATTTTTTTACAAAAAAGTATATTTAATAAATTACAATATACACAAACCCTTACAACAGTAAAACGTTACGAAACATACAATCAACGTTACCAGTAACATCAAAGCTACATAGAAGTAACGTTGAAGTGCGATTTTTCAAGGTTATAAATAGACATAACTCGACATCAAGGTGAATTTTAAACATAGACACATTACCACGCACTTATTAGTTACTCCTGCATAATACTATATAAGATGTGAACAATAAAAACAGATATTTACCTTTGAAATCGCCAAAATTCACAATTAAAATTCACTGTCGAAACACACGCGTCCACCTTTGACAGACTTCAGACACGAAAAGATTGGACAAGATGGCGTCTTTTTTTTTTTAAATGTCCTGCCCGAATACTTAGTGTTGTCAGTACAATTATAAAATACTACCAAACTGTTTTGAATGCTTTTTAAGGGAAAATTTTGGTAACATACAAAGTAGTAACGTAGAAGCAAAAAAAGTTTAAATAGTAATGAATCTATAAAAAAACGCGTTATTAAAACACGAAAAGCACAGTGTAGTAGCTTAACATTAAGGCATTTCTGATAGTCACAAATTATTTAAAAATTCATTACATAAATATAAGTTTTATAGTTTAAATGCTAAAAAGACAGCATGTTTTTCGTTAAATTTGGGAGTCTGGACGTATTTAACTCGTTGTATTTTTTTTAATGTACAACTTATAATTAATACTAAGGATAAGGTGTAAGAGTTTAAGAGATATATAACCTAATTAATATACCTTTATTACAATTTACCCATTATTTTGTTTTCTATAAGCAATCAAAATATGAGAATATTTTTTCATCAAAAAGTGGCAAAAACGACGGCCTTACCCAGTAACGTTGTAGTAGGAAGAACTACCAGTAACAAGCAGTAGTATCCGGTAGTAGCTGAAGTGAATAGTAGCAGAACACAGTGAAAAGTTATAGTGAAATAGAAAAAGTTTAGCTAGCCGAAAAAGGTCGTAACTGAAAATCGCAGTTACACATAGTCGAAAAAAGTGGCAACTGAAAATTCTCAGTTGCATATAGTAAAATAGTGTTAGCTAGCCGAAAAAGTTGGTAACTGAAAATTCGCAGTTACACATAGTGAAAAAGTGTTAGCTAGCCGGAAAAAGTGGTAACGGAAATTTCGCCGTTACATATATTGAAAAGTGTTAGCTAAACGGAAAAAGTGATAACTGATATTCGCAGTTACACAAGTGTTAAATTCAACTAATTTTAGTTGATTACTAGCTGGTAGTCAGTAGTGTTAGAAAACCAGCTACTACCAATAGATATTTTTGATACTACCAATAGAAATTTGTTACTTCCAATAGATATTTGATATTACCAATAGATATTTTGAAAATACCAATAGAAATTTTAATACCAATAGAAATTTTAATATTACCGCGCATTTTAATTAAATCTGTTTTGAAATATATAGTGACCAACCAATAGTGAACAACCATAGTTGAACAACCGTGTTCAATAAATAAATAGTTATAATATTTCACTACTAATTTATCAATCGAACCGCTGGCCACTCACTTGCTGTTTTAATTTATTAATCGTGCATTTTTAATTCTGAACCTCAGTCCACAGTTCTCCAGCAGCATACACAGAGACGGCAGTGAAAGTATCCTCCGGAACCTATAGGTGTAGGACTTGAGCGGCTCGCGGAGTATCTTCGACAACATTTACCCCGGAGAGTTACGCCCGTCCGGCACACATATTATAATGTAAATAAACATATATTATATACACATACAAACTAATATACATAAAGAAAACAATAAATATATATATATATATATATATATTAGATAAACGGTAACTTTTGAAAACAGTAAAATTTTCACACCAAGTATAGTTTAATGTACTTTCGCTCCGAATCAAGTAACAACAAAGCTACAAACATATCAAACGTTTGCCATGGACCCACTTAAGAAAATAAATTACGCTTACAGAATGCAATAAATTGTTTTGTATCAGGTTCAGCCATATCTTAGGGCGTGTAGCGATGTCACTTATTTCTCTTTTCCTAATATATATCACCATATAGTGCCCTCTCGACGTCGAAATTTCGTTTGTAATATTGCCTTTTTTCATGTCTTGGGGTTGTTATAAACTAATTTGTATCATTCCGCATAAAGAAAGAAAATGATGTGTCCTATCCAGTTTTAAGGGGGACCTCCCACCTTCTCTCAATCGGGCGCAGTATACCCGTCGCCGTCAATCCCAGCACTACCATCCCCAGCACCACCACACTAGGCACAACACACCACTCTCGAAAATACAACACGTGTTTCACCTCTGCACGAGGCATCCTCAGGTGACGTAGACTCTGCGGAGGCTGGCCGTTAAGTGGGCGGCGAACAGAAACTTAGCGGCCAGCCTCCCCAGAGTGTATTAGTTTATAACAACCCCATTATAATGGATTTCCGCAAAGTAACGCCTGATTCTATTAATTATTTTTTCATGTCGTTTTCTTTTACGCTGTATGCGAGTAAAGCGGGATCGAGTCCAGCCTGCACCTATGAAATTGTTAACTGCAATTTTAGCTACTGCTTTACAACGTTGAAGTTAAAACTACAGTCTATATACGTCTCGCTGCGTGGCACAGGCCTCCTCTCACTTCTGAGAGGATTTTACTGCAAGGAAATATCCGCGCTGCCCCACTGAGTGTTTGCAAACTTCACATGCAGTTTTCCTCCCGATGTTTTCCTTCCATCTATGGGACTGACTCCATATCTATCATATTTGGGTTACATGTGAATTTCAGGTCATATGTCAAATATATCTTCCTGATAACAATTAAAAAAATGCGTTGCCAACCCATATGCCAAACGTTGCAAAGACAAATTTCTCCTTAGGACATAATCTTTGGGGAAAGGGTTCAGCAGTGTACCATCATAGCCTGTAATATGTAGTAGATGGATGGATGTGAAGTGCACTAACATGTCCAATAACCCTCTCAGAAATGAAAGCCCAGTTTTGGCATTCATACTTACTTGTGTGTCACTCTGGTGAAGTTTATTGTGAAGCTTTATCATTGTCTAATGATTTATTGCTGACTCGTTATGTCAGTCAACATTTTAATTTATAAATCTAATAGAATAATTGGTATATATCTTTAACCCTTCCCTTCCCTAATCCTTCCTATATGCACGTATAACCGTTGAGGGCGACGCAAGCGCCACGCAGCGGCAATTAGTTGTAAACGATTAATAACCGCGACCGCACGAAGGACATTGGAAGACGAAGGACATCCTTCAATCTCCTCTTTAATATTAATTATCACCGGACATCGAGTACTAGTAATTTGGCGAATGTGACGCGCCTTCCTCGATTACACTAAGTCGAGAGTTAAAGAGTGTGTGACATCCTAAAATTGATCTAAGAGTGCGTGCGCCGATCCACTTGGCGGACCTGCTGTGTTAGCTCATACTCTGGGAGGAAGGCGAGGCAGTCCCTCACAGGGTTAGTGCATGCATTACACTCTCATCCAAATTCCTTGCTCTGCTTGATGTATGTACCAATATAGTCCAATCATCTTTATCGAAAATATCCACATTACTGGCGCGTCCACAGACTGTTTTACAAATATTA